AAAGTGCTTCTTTGTTCTCTTTGCTCCTCAGTCTCAGTGTGAGTTTGTGTGTGTGTGTGTATGTTTATTTTTCCTTGGTTTTTTGTGTTCCTTACCCAGATTCTTTGGGACAAGTTGAAAAAAGAGCTTGGACTTTGGTAAAGCTTTTCTTGTATCAACCCTACTTTTCCATTTCTCTCTACATGGTAACTCAGATGGTAAAGAATCTGCCTGTAATTCGGGAGATCCGAGTTCAATCCCTGGGTTGGGAAATTCCCTTGGAGAAGGAAATGGCAACCTACTCCAGTATTCTTACTTGGAGAATTCCATGGACAGAGGAACCTGGGGAACTTCAGTCCACGGGCTCGAAAAGAGTCATACACGACTGAGTGACTAACACACTCCTCAAGCATTAGTTCTCTTCTATTTTTCCCATTTTCTTGTTCTCCTAACCCTATTCCAACTGCTTTGGCTGATATTTTTAGATATTTTAAATAATGTGAACAGAAAGTATCAAATTTCATAACACTATTTTTTTCTTCTAAACGGCAATAGAAATAACACGGCCATACTTCCCTTTAGGTGGTTTTTATAAGCCACATAAGTGACATTGCAAAACTTCATTCATCATTTCCAATAGATAATATTTGTTTTTGTAACTTAGTAATTGCCTTTAAAAAGAACCTGTGGCCATTTCAGATACTTTGGAAGAATCTTTTTTTCTTCTTTGTCAAGGTAGAGAAGGAACTTTTCTACAAAACCATATTATGTAAGTGATTGCATTATTAGCCTTACAACATATTTCTTTTCCTTGCTTCTTTTACCTTTCATTTCAGTGTGAATTTTGCCAGCAGTGGGATCTTTTTCAAGTCACATCACTTCTCTAAACCCCAGTCTTAATGACTGTAAATATGTGATACAAACTTTTATACCTATAGATTTGTTAAAATAATTCAATAAATTCTTTGTAAACTATAAAACACTTAACAAATGCAATAAATTATTATTACTAAGACAAAGACCAATAAAGGTAGCTAACGGGTCAGAAAGGGTGGTAGAAGGTAGAGGTTAACAATAAGTGCCTTTTTATCAACTGTGCACAAGTCGATTTTGCTGAAGTAGTAGGAGGAAACGTGTGGATTTGGAGCAAGTTGTTTTCAAGTTTTTTCTTAGTAATAAGATGCTCAGAAGCAAACCCCTTGCAATTATATAGAGCAATTTACTATTCTCTTTCACATACATTATCTCGTTTAATCTTAAACACAAAACTGCCAGGCTGGTGTCATTACCTCCACTTTATAGATGGAAATTGAGTTATAATTTGCCTCTAAGCACATTAGTGGTTGAGGCAGGGCTGAAATCCAGGTTGATATTTATACTACTGTGTTTGTATTATATTTTATGTTGTATTATATTTATATATATAAATATATATATATTATATTATATATAATATAAATATTACATAATATGTTTATATTATATTGCAAGTTCTTTTGCTATATATCTATTAGTTTAGTCAAAGATTAGTCAGTCTTGTCAGCTTTTACAATACTGTGCTGTGATTCTAAATTTGCTTTAGGTGGCTTTTAGACCCACCTATAAACTCACCTATCTTGTGACTTACAGAATCTGTGTCCTGGCCCCCTGGCTGTTTCAGGAATACCTATTTTTATTCAGTGTGCTTGATTATCAGACAGGAAGGAAAGTATTAGAGATTCAATAAATGCTTCTAAGTTGGAAAGGGGGGAAAGGGGGGGTTATGATAATTGTTTATGATAATCCATTTCTTGAGAAACAATGTTATTGGTAAGTACCTGGAGTTTTTCCAATAATGCAAGCATTGTCCCAGCCAACACTTAGAACGAAGGGTTTATCTAGCATGGCTTTCAAGAGGTGGGGAAGGGAGGCTGAAACCAGGAACTAGCTTTAGGCTTGCCTTTCCAAAGATGATTCTTAGTGGAAAGCTGTCTGTGCAACAGTGTTGTGTAAAACTGAGTGGACAGAAACAAGAAGTTGTTTGCCACATTGGTCTTAGGTCTGGAAACTGCCTAGTGTAGTGGTTACAAGGAGTCTGACACTAGGCTCTCTAGGTTCAAATCCAAGCTTCACCATTTATGGCCTGTAGTAACTTGTAGGCAGTTTAATTTCTCCTCTTCTCAGTTTCTGGTCTTTAACATGGGAATAAAAATAGTGCATACATCCAAGGATGACTGAGTATTAAATGAGATTATGCATATAAAGGGCTTAGCACAGGCCAGTGCCTGAGATGCTGGGAATGCTGAATCAATAGTAGGAGATATTATTATCATTATTATAGATGTTATGATTCATCACTTGCACCTTGTGTCTTTAGACAAGATTTACCTGGAATAGTATTTGGCAAAAAAAAAAAAAAAAAAAAAAAGAAGAAGAAGAAGAAGCACAATCAAAGTTTGTTGAATTATTACTCTGCTAAAAATGTCATGATGATAAAACTGTGTGGTGGGGTTGATGGTTTGGGTGGCGACTGTAGGTTGAGGAAGGTTTGCAGGGAGACTTCTGAAAAGATAGGTGCAGGATAGACTCCTTAAAACAAGACAATTTATTTAGTGGAAAGGGCTCAAGAGAGCTGTTTTTCAGTCCTAGCTCTGCTCCCAGTAAGTTGTGTAAGCTAGGATCACTCACTTTCCTCTTTGGGTATTTCCTCATTTTTAAAAATAAAATGACCAGATGAGTGGTTATTAACTGTGGGCTGGGAGTGGGGAGTATATCTGAAACTGTTTCAAATTTTGTATCTCTGCATTTCTATCTCCCATCTTTCATTTGCCTTCAGATCCCTTGCGAAAAACTCTGTCATTCTGCTAACTATATATATAACACCTCATTGCACTAGTGACAGTCTTGTAACCCAGAAGCTGAGGAAAGAATTGTCTTCACATTCACTTGGGTAAGAAAGTCTAGGTGGGACACTGTTATTCAGGAATTCCTTTTGTGGATTTCTAGATAATTGATTCAGGAAGCCAGCTATCCTATTTCCTATTTTTGCTTAAATGTGTTTAGCAGATCCAGGAAATGCTATTTGATGGCCTGAGTTTAATTTCAGTAGCTTATAAACAGAATAGAAACAAGTTATTTCTAACTTTTTAGTTAGCTTTTATGCTGTACATGACCAGGGGCTAATAAAATATTTAAGGACAGATTGATAGGGTAGAGAGAACTTTAAGCTCTCTCTGAGAGCATTTTAAGGCAAGCATGATTGTCTTCATCCTTATAGGTAATACGAAAGAATTTGTTTGTCAGACCTATTGCCTTGGATCCAAAAGTAACCAGTCTTTTTATCTCAATCTGTAAGAGCATCTCTATGGCAGAAATGTGGCCTTCTGTTCACCAAACCCACTTACTACTTACACATGCCTTAGAAGGCAGCAATGGGCTGATGATGGGGAGGAAGGAATTGTGGAGAGAGATTCATTGGACCTCAGTAAGAGAAATGGCATCCCCTTATGATTGTATGAGACATAGAAAAAGGAATAGCATGGTGTTGCTTCAGCCTGGCTAGCTAACTTAAGGAAGACTTAAATGCTGGAGTCTCAAGGGAAAAGCTTTCATAATACTGAGCCAAACATGTGGGATCCAGCATAGAAGGGTGGAAGGGCACTAGATTGGGAATCACATCTCTGTTCTACTTCCAGTTTTGTTACTAATTTACTAATTTACTGTGTAATCTTGGGCAAGTCTGAGTTTTACTTCCCAATATATAAAGGAGGATTGGACTAGCATTGCCTCCAATATACTTGCTGGCTCTGACAGTCTGATTCCAAGATTTCATTATGCAATAATTGAAGCCTAGCAACATGAGAACATTACAACTGGAGCAGGTAAGATTAAGAGGGTGGGGCAGGGGAAAAGGCTCTGTCCTGCATAATTAACTTAAGTAGGGGAAAAGAAAGGCAGTCTCTGACTGTTGGGGTAATTGACCTTTAATCCTTCCTGTGAAATTGTTGGTTTTAAGAATACATACTCAAAGAGAAGTGTAGAACTGAAGTAATGATTTTTCATGAAAAGGAGAGTATTTTTTGATTGAAAAGATGTGTAGAGACATGAATCCTTTTAGTTTTGATCATAAAACCAGTATTCTTCAGTAATAAAAAGATGATTAAATTGTATTCTGTGGCAGTATATTTTGCTCTCTGTTTTAAGAGAGGTGATAAATTCAGATTTGTCCTTACTGTATGCTGTGTGAAATGATTTGGAGGCAAGAAAGACTGGATAAGGAGATCCCTGATGATGAGATCCTCAGCTTAGGAAGGGTGTAGTGATAAATGAGAAACTGGACGGGAGAGGGAGGTGTTCAGGAAGAATCAGGTTTCTGGTTTGGACAACTGGGAAGATTATGGTGCCATTTACTGATATAAGAAATACAGGGAAGAGTAGAACACACAGGAGAGTGGATGATGAGGATTTAATGTTTATGAAGAAATGAAGCAAAGTTCTGAGTTATCTGAGGCTTTGGTACATTTGGTATAGATTCTGAGCTTTTATCAGTATTCAGTTAACTTTCAAATAATTTTTGTCTCAGAAAAGAGTGTGTGTATGTATTAATGTGTCTTATTGGTGGCTAGTGAAGAGTATCACTGTGGAGACTAATGATATAATTCCCCCTGCAAATGGATAAGAACACTCAGGTGGGTCTGATTCAGTCTTCAGGCTGAAGGCTATTTGAGGTCATCATATCTTGGTCATAGCATGTGATGTATAAGGTGTGTGTGTGTGTGTGTGTTAAAGCCGGGGTTTGAAGGGATATGTTTGTGTTGCCTTGTTTTTGCTTTCATAAGAAGGATGAGACGAAAATCCTCCTTTCGAATTATTTTGGTTCCAAGCTTGATTTTTCTTTTTTTTTCTGTTTAAATGGTTCAAAGGGGCACAGTTTTCCCAGTTCTTGATGGAAAGCCCACAAAGAGTTCCCAACTGTATTTTTAATCACATTTAGTACATATTGAAGTATGATAATGTTAAAATTTTATATTTTTCCTTCTTAGAGTGGAAATTTCAAGGTATTAAATCTTAGAGAAATGGCTTTCATTCATTTGGATATCAGATGTCTATATACGCTTCTTATTTGCACAGCTTTTGGCTCTACTTTGTCTTCAAATGCTGAGATAAAAGGTAAACCAAGAATGCAGTAATTTTAAAATCAGAGATATTAACTGCCTTGTCAACCTACCAAATGAAAGTGCATAAATAGATGGATTATTGTTGCAAATAATTCAGGGATCCCATACACAAAAGATACGTTCTCACTAGTCAGCCTCATGTATGACGTAACTGATGATAACAACCATTTTGTGGGAGAAAAGCCAAACTAAAATATACTTTCTATACCTTTTCATATAATCTTTTCTAATAAAGAGGCTATTTACCCAAAACCTCATTGCCTGGTACCCAATTAACTGAAAACTTTCCTTAATTACTCAGTTCAGTTCAGTTCAGTCGCTCAGTTGTGTTTGATTCTTTGTGACTCCATGGACTGCAGCACACCAGGCTTCCCTGTCCATCACCAACTCCCGGAGCTTGCTCAAACTCATGTCCATTGAGTCGGTGATGCCATCCAACTATCTCATTCTCTGTCGTCCCCTTTTCCTCCCACCTTCAATCTTTCCCAGCATCAGGGTCTTTTCCAATGAGTCAGTTCTTCGCATCAGGTGGCGAAAATATTGGCATTTCAGCTTCAGCATCAGTCCTTCCAATGAATATTCAGGACCGATTTCCTTTAGGATGGACTGGTTGGATCTCCTTGCAGTCCAAGGGACGCTCAAAAGTCTTCTCCAACACCACAGTTCAAAAGCATCAATTCTTTGGCACTCAGCTTTCTTTATAGTCCAACTCTCACATCCATACATGACTACTGGAAAAACCATAGTTACCTTAACTTTTAAGACAATTAGATAAGTTTTAAAAATACATAAGTTTAAAATGAATTTTAAAAATAATTGCACAATTATTAAGTCATGTCTAATGAACTTTTCATTATGGAAGGAAGAATGTAGTTTACAAAAATTTCTAATCATGAGTTGAAACAATAGGATTGTCCTTTCATCCTCAATAGAGACCTTCTTTATTTGGTTCATGGGGCTCTCATTTCAAATCATTATTTGTGGCATCATTTTTTTCTGTTGATTCTTTTACTTATCTCAATAAGTAATATGAAGTAAAGTATTAAAATGAAAAGCAGAGCAGAAATGAGAAGAAATTATTAGCAGAAAGGTAACATGAGGGCAGTACAATGTACTAGATTTACTAGTAGGTTTAGTAAGTTTATGGGACTTCCCTTGTAGTTCAGCCAGTACAGAATCTGCCTACAATATAGGAGGCCCAGGTTTGATCCCTGGGTCCAGAAGATCCCCTGGAGAAGGGTGTGGCTAACCACTCCAGTATTCTTGCCTGAAGAATTCTGTGGACCAGAGGAGCTTGGCGAACTACAGTCCATGGAGTTGCAAAGAGTTGGACATGACTGAGCGACTAACACTTAGTACGTTTATAGAATAATTTGTTAATTTTTATTGCTTTCTAAATCACCAGATGAAGGAGCCATTGCCTCCCGCTGCCCCCTCCCTTGAAATAAAAGAAGCTGTTTCCTGTCACTCAGCTGCCTGCTACTTTTTTTTTTGAGTCCTTCCAAAGACTGGCTCAGGTTTGCATATTCTATAAATAGCTCTGAGCTTTACTTAACCAGAGGATTCAATTATCTCGAATGGACCAACAAGATCTGCCTGTTCTCCTAATTCTCAAGGCACTTAGCCAGAGTAGTCTTATTTTATATTTTCTATCCCTTTTTGTGTGCCATATTTTCTGTTTTCTCTCCCTTTTTGTGTGTGTGCCATGAATGTTATGATGTTATACATACAGTAAGCACTAGATTAATACTGACTGATTCTTGCTATGAGAGAGCTTTATGTAACAAAATGTCCCCACCCAAGACCAAACTGAGGTCTATATGACTTCAGAGATAACTCCATGTTGAACTTCTTATTTCTATGAAAATGATATCTAGATAGGCTAAGTCACATTTACATACACAATTTCTTAAAGAAGGGACAACTATGTAGTAGTAATCTAGATTTTTAAAAACAGCTTTTCTGAGATTTAGTTCACAAGACATAAAACTTATTCTTTTAAAGTATAATGTACAGTGGTTTTTAGTATATTCACAAAGTTGTATAACAGCCACAATTATCAAATTCCAGAATAGTTACATCACCCCAAAAAGAAACTTCATATCCATTCAGTAGTTACATATCATTCACCCCTCCCTCCAGCACCTGGCAACCACTAATTGATTTTCCTTCTCTATGAATTTGCCTATTTCAATATCTCACATAAATGAAATCATGCAATATGTGGGCTTCTTTCATTTAGCTTAAGGTTTTCAAGGTTCATTCATGTTCTAGCATATATCAGTATTTCATTCTTTCTTATGGCTGGATAATATTCCATTTTATGAATGTATCATAGTTTATTTTTTTTTCATTCATCAGTTGATGGACATATGGAAGTAATCTAGATTTGGAGATCTTTGTCATAAGATACAGGATAAAAATTAAAATATTTTATTGATTTTATTTCAGTTAATCCTCCTCAGGATTTTGAAATAGTGGACCCTGGATATTTAGGTTATCTCTATTTGCAATGGCAACCTCCAGTCTCTCTGGATAATTTTAACAAATGCACAGTAGAATATGAATTAAAATATCGAAATGTTGATAGTGAAAGCTGGAGGGTAAGTAAAGCATGCACTTAAGATATTAGAGTGCTTATTAGTTTTCCTGTGATTCCTGATGTCAGTGTCTGCTCTTATTTCTGTATCTCAATAGCTATTATTAAGATATAAGTTGCATGCCTGCTGCTGTCTCCTGTGCATCCTGCAATATCTGTTTTCACCCCACCCACTATTAAGACTACCATTGGAAGTACAGGAAAGGAAAATCTGATCTCATGGAATATGGACTTATAGAGTTCTTGTACATTTTACCTTATTTCAGGGCTACTTAATGCCTGTGTATGGGTCTTACATATGCTACCGGATGATGTGAGCTTTTTCTCTGTAGGAATTAAGCCTTATTTATCTTTGTACTCACCCTACAGAACACAGCATGGTTCTTTGCATATATTGTAGTAAGTGCTCAGTGAAAGTTTATTGAATTATTAACTATTTACATAGTCAACAAGCATGTTCTTTGAAAGATTTTGATTGTACAAGGAATTCTGTTATCTTCTTAATTCAGCTAGGTGGTTTCAAAAAACAATTAAAATCAAACATTCACTGAGCAACTTTTTTTCTGCCAGCTACTTTGCTAGCTAGGTATCAGGAATAGAAGGATAAATGATACATGATTTTAGTCCTTCAAGTAGTCACACTTTGTCTGGCTCCCTCCAGTTACCACCAAGATTTTATATGATTCCTATTTCATATGATATTTGAAAGGTGATAAATTGTCATGTAATAGGCGTATGGTACATGAAAATTATCCCTTGATTTCAAGTTGGTTATAGCTCAAGTTCCTGCCACAGAGCTTTTTTTGTCTTCCAGAATTTATTTTATTTTATTTTTTCTCTCTTTTTTTTAATTTATTTTTATTAGTTGGAGGCTAATTACTTTACAATATGGTAGTGGTTTTTGTCATACTTTGACATGAATTAGCCATGGATTTACATGTATTCCCCATCCCAATCCCCCCTCCCATCTCCCTCTCCACCCGATCCCTCTGGGTCTTCCCAGTGCACCAGGTCCGAGCACTTGTCTCATGCATCCAACCTGGGCTGGTGATCTGTTTCACCCTAGATAATATACATGTTTCGATGCTGTTCTCTTGAAACATCCCACCCTCGCCTTCTCCCACAGGATCTCATCAAATGACATAATATGCAGAAGGTGAACTCTGCCAAAAATATATCTGGGACATGTTATCAAATAATCATCTGGAATTTACTAGCTATTGAGGACTCTCCAAAGTATTAATGACTTTTTAGCCTTATTAATGTGGCTCATGATAACATTATTGTTTCTAAGCTTGACTTTGTCTCATCTTTTTGTCAAACAGACAATCATCACTAAGAATCTACTTTACAAAGATGGGTTTGATCTTAACAAAGGTGTTGAAGCAAAGATACACACACTTCTGCCAAGGCAATGCACAAATGGATCAGAAGTTCAAAGTTCATGGTCAGAAGCTACTTATTGGATATCATCACAAGGTTAAAAAAAGCTCTCTTTTCATAGTTAATACTGTTAGAAAAATTTATATGGGAAGTAAGTTCTTTAACACTTATACAGAAGATTATATGTACAGTTGAGAATGTGGCACAAAATAGAATCCTTCTGAGGAGTGGGTGACTGGTGTTTTAAATTCCTTAAATCAGAAAACATGTGTGGCAAAACCTATATCTTATTTCAGGCATGCATGCTCAGTCGTGTGCAACTCTTTGTGGCCCCATAGACTATAGCCTTTATTAGGTTAATATATATCCCAGTTTTGGGCTCATATCAGTAAATATACATGAAACTATGCGGCTTCTTGGAGCATCCTAGAATTATTAATTTGGCACTTCTGCATATGCTTACACTAGTACCAATAAATGAGCCCTCAAAAGTTTTTGATTTTGCATGTTCCACTTAAAGTGAAGTGATTTCCAACAACTTCCTTTTGGGATTTTCCTGATTATGTTGATTGCTAAATGAAGTGGAGAGGTCAAAGGAAATGAAATAAAATTGCTTAGTGATTTCCCAAGTGATTCATTACCATGTCTTTCAAGCATTCACAGTTTATTCATTTCTTAGGAAATCTGGATACTAAAATTCAGGATATGGATTGTGTATATTACAACTGGCAATATTTACTCTGCTCTTGGAAACCTGGCATGGGTGCCCATTTGGATAGCAATTACAGCTTATATTACTGGTAAGTATTTTTATAATAAGAATTCCATATCAGGAAGATATCTATCAAAATTAATCCACAGTATGAGTAACTGTATTTTCATTAGGGTAGCTCAGATGGTAAAGAATCTACCTGCAATGCAAGAGATCCAGGTTCAATCCCTGGGTTGGGAAGATCCCCTGGGGAAGGGAATGGCAACCCACTCCAGTATTCCTGCCTGGAGAACTCCGTGGACCGAGAAACCTGGAGGGCTACAGTCTTTGGGGTTGCAAAGAGTTGGACAGGACTGAGTGATTAGCACTTACATATGTACCTAATTCAAACTCTAAAAAATACAAACAAGGCAAACAAAACAAATACTTGGGCCTCTAGATGGGCTTCCCTGGTAGCTCAGCTGGTAAAGAATCCGTCTGCAATGTGGGAGACCTAGGTTTGATCCCTGGGTTGGGAAGATCCCCTGGAGAAGGGAATGGAGAAGGGAATACTTCAGTATTCTGGCCTGGAGAAGTCCTTGGACTGTATAGTCCATGCAGTCACAAAGAGTCGAACACGACTGAGCAAATTTCATTTTCATTAAACTGAATTCATTATACTTTTTCAGAGCTGGATTTATGATGAAGTTTATTTACAATTATTTAGGGTTTTCAATGGGAATAAGTAGGTTTAGGCTGTAGCTACTAGAAGGCACTCTATGGGTGATGTAAAGAATGCAATCACTGTTTCTGTACTGAGTTAAATTTTGCATCTTCTAGATAGATGGAATTATATCCTAAAAACTTTGGACATATTTCATATTCTTGCTTTTTAAAAAGCCATCAACTATTAAAACCAGATCCTTTTTCTGACTTCCCTGCCTTTGTTAACTCTCACTAAGGATTTAAAGTGTTGTCACTGCTTTTAATACACCATTTAGGTTTGTTGTAGCTTTTCTTTCAAGAAGCAAGCATTTTTTAATTTCATGGCCACTTGGCCAACAACAATATAGTCAAAGCTATGGTTTTTCCTGTAGTCATGTACAGATGTGAGAGTTGGACCATGAAGAAGGCTAAGTGCCAAAGAACTGACACTTTCAAACTGTGGTGCTGGAGAAGACTCTTGAGAGTCCCTTGAACAGCAAGGAGATCAAACCAGTCAATCCTGAAGGAAATAAATTCTGAATATTCATTGGAAGGACTGATCCAGAAGCTGAAGACCCAATATTTTGGCTACCTGATGTGAAGAGCCAACTCGTTGGAAAAGACTCTGATTCTGGGAAAGGTTGAGGACAGGAGGAGAAGGGGGCAACAGAGGATGAATTAGTTGGATGGCATCATTGACTCAATGGGCAAGATTTTGAACAAATTCTGGGAGATGCTAAAGGACAGGGAAACCTTGCAGTCCATGGGTTTACAAAGAATCAGGCATGACTTAGCAAAATATTCGGCATAAAGTGAATTCAGTGGAGTCCAGATATTTGTACCAGTACCATATCAGCTGCTAGGCTGATATTTTGGCTGCTTTTATAGATAAAGTAAATTTTTCATTACAGGTTATTTAGGAAAATAAATTGGGCATTTATTCCTTTGGATATCAGTAGGAAAATCCCCCCTAATTCCCACTAGCTTTATTACTGGAAAGGGGTTAAATTTCAATGATACAGCAACATTTCTTATCTAGGAGAATGGAAAACTATATATTTACTTGCCAAACAGCTCCTCTTTCTCTTTTTGAGCCCCTGTTGGATTTTTTGAGATTTATCTCTATGTGTATTATGTCCTCAGAGGATTTTCATCCACTTTATTAAACAATATATTTTATGTTTGCTTTTATTTTTTAAATCTTTTAATTTAATTTTCTCTTCAATTTTTATATTTTATATACTTTGAAATTTAATTTTTATTTTATATTAGAATATAGTTGATTTGCAATGTTAGCTTCAAGTGTACAGCAAAGTGGTTCAGTTATACATATACACATATCTATTCTTTTTCAGTTTCTTTTCCCAAATAGTGTGTATATTTTAATCCAAACTCCTAATTTACCCCACCACCACTTTTCCCCTTTAGTAACCATGTTTGTTTTTGAAGTCTGTGAGACTGTTTCTGTTTTGTAAATAAGTTCATTTGTATCATTTTTTATATTTAGATATAAGTGATATCATGTGATATTTTTATTTCTCTTTCTGATTTACTTCACTTCGTATGATAATATCTAGGTCCATCCATGTTGCTGCAGATAGCATGATCTCATTCATTTTTATGGCTAAGTAGTATTCCATTTTGTATATGTACCACATCTACTTTATCCATTCATCTATCAATGGACATTTAGATTGCTTCCATGTCTTGGCAACTGTAAACAGTGCAACTATGAATATTGAGATGCATGTATCTTTCCTAGTTAGTTTTCTCCAGCTATATGCCCAGGAGTGGGATTGCTGGATCATATAGTAGTTTTATTTTTAGTTTTTTAAGGAACTTCCATACTGTTCTTTATAATGGTTATACCAATTTATATTCCCACTGACAGTGTAGGAGGGCACCCTTTACTTCACACCTGCTCCAGCATTATTTTTCTTTCTTTTTTTTTCCATTGAAGTGAGGTTGACTTTCAGTGTTGCTCCAATCTCTGCTGTACAGCAAAATGACTCAGTTATATACATATATACATTCTTTTCCATTGTGGTTTATCACAGGATATTGAATATAGTTCCCTGTGCTATACCTTAGGGGCTTGCTGTTTATCCATTCTAAATGTAATAGTTAGCATCTACCAACCCCATTTCCAGCATTGATTATTTGTAGACTTGTTGATTAAGGCCATTCTGACTGGTGTAAGGTGACACCTCATTGTAGTTTTGATTTGCATTTCTCTAATAACTAGTGATGTTGAACATCTTTTCCTGTGCTTCTTGGCCACCTTGTAAATCTGCTTTTAAATCTGCTTTCTTCTAGTAAATTCTGCAGTACTGTATTTTAAAAAGCAGTACCATTCAGGATTATCAATATAAATCCCATGTTTTCTTAATAAGAATCTTATTCTTTGATTCACAATCCTGTTGGTGAATCAACATAACCTAAATACATGAGTAAGAATTCTTGCCTTGTATCTGAGATTTTATAAAGAGTCCCACCAGATTGTAAGCTCTGTAAAATAATGGCCTATGTCTACTTTCCTTACTGTTGTACCCCTAGCACTTTTCATAGGATCTGGCACATAGTTGGTATTCAGTACATATTGTATGTTGTTAAATGATTTTTTATTTACCTGGTGTTTTAAAGTAATTGAAAATTGGGCACCATACTACTAGAAGATATTGATAAGCACAATTCTTACCACACTTCTTTTTATAGGTATGAGGGCTTGGACCATGCATTAGAGTGTATTGATTACATCCAGGCTAAAGGAAAAAATATTGGATGCAGCTTTCCCTACTTGGAGTCATCAGACTATAAAGATTTCTACATCTGTGTTAATGGATCATCAGAATCCCAATTAATCAGACCCAGCTATTTCATTTTTCAGCTTCAAAATATAGGTGAGGTAAACAACTTCAAAATGTTTCTAGTTTAGACTATTTACAACCAACCACGTGGAAGAGAAGAGATAGATAAATAGATATCTACCAGAATGCAAAGCCAGAAAACTGGAAGCCAACAAAGTACAAGGAAGAACTAATTAAATATAAAAATATGGAAGATAAGGAATTGAATGAGTGTAAAGCATAGTTTTCATTTAGAACTCATAATTTGTTTCCCAGCTTCATAGTTTGTCTGCTATAAAGTATTTTTGTCTAGTATAAATAATGGAATAATTATGGAATCACTCATTCCCAATGCTCAATAGACCCTGGGAATAGGTTGGATATTGTCTGAGTCTGTGTTCTCATTTCTAACAGTTACAAGGATGACAGGCTCTATAGCCAGCCATAAAATTTGAATTTACTACATTCTAGCTATATGACTTTGGGTGAGTTACTCTTAATGTTTCAATTTCCTTATCAATAAAGTGAAGATAATAGAGGACCACTTTGTAGATTTATTGTGAGACATGAATTAGTTTATGATGTAACATTTCTGGTTTACTTCCTGACACATCATAAGCTCTAAATAAGAATTAGCTATTAATAAAAATAAAAATACTAGTAGTAATTTGTTGTGGTAGTTGTTTTTAATGCCATAAAATGGAAAAATGACTGTAATGATTTGGATCTTCCAGCTTTTCTCTTGGACTTAAGTATTTGTCAATATGTGGCTTAACAAAATTCAGTTTCCCAAATAACCAAGTTTCTTAAACTGATCTTGGTTAACAAGTGGCTTTGATTTTAATTCACATTGGGGCTTCCCTTATAGCTCAGTCGGTAAAGGATCTGCCTGCAGTGCAGGAGACCTGGGTTTGATCCCTGGGTTGGGAAGGTCCCCTCAAGAAGGAAATGGCAATCCACTCCGGCATCCTTGCCTGGAAAATCTCATGGACAGAGGAGGCTGGTGGGCTGCAGTCCATGGGGTCACAAAGAGTCGGACACGACTGAGCGACTAACATTTATTTACTTACTTACTTATAGAGCATAGTATTGAGCCACCTGATTTATCCTGGATGCTCTATTAATAGGTGCCCCTAGCTTTTGATAAAGGCTACTGCTAAACTTCAGTAACTTTCATGTTGAAACTGTTTCCTTTCATTTTCAGTTAAACCTTTGCCACCAGACTACCTTAGTCTTACTATGAAGAATTCAGGAGTCAACCTGAAATGGAGCATTCCCAGAGGACCTATTCCAGCAAAATGTCTCATTTATGAAATTGAGTTCACAGAAGATGATACTGCCTGGGTGGTATGGACATTGCATTTATTTGGGAAAATCATAAACACAGCCTTTTAAATAAAATAGTAAACATAAGAACCAAAGTCAGTTGCTATTCACATGAGGATGGAACATAACATGCACCTTAGTTTAACTTCCAGAAAACCAAACAATCTTGAGGACAAAAGAAAGATGTTTGCAGTATGAAAATATAATCGTTAATTATACCAACTTTAAAACTACATAGGTCCTTAGAGATAATCTAGTCACTTGTTTCCAAAATTGTTATATATTAATTTTATTCATTGGTTTCCAACTTAGGAAGTGGTGGAGATGAGTGGGTGAACCATTAGTTCTATCAATTCATTTCACATACACATTAAAAAAAAAACCTGATTTTTCTACTTGAAAAGATAGATTTACAAGTACCAAGGAAGTGAATTGATTTACAATAAAATTATGTAGCTAGAACTAGAATCCAGACCTTATTCCCAGTCTACTTTAATTTACATTACATTATGCTAGTTCCCAAGAAAAGTTACAACAAATGAAAAACTGTTGTTTTGGATGAGAAACACTCTTCAGCTCTTTTAAATGCAAAATTGAAGTAATCACTTCAGTGATTTTTTTTTTCTTTTGAGATCATCCAGCTGTGTGTATTCTCATATCGGAAGGGGTGGTTTCATGCCAGGCCCTGAGCACTGTCATACTGGTCTTATGATTAAACAAAATAAAAATAAGGGAAAAAAGAAGCTTTGTGTCTATGAACTCTACAGCATCCATAGAAACAAACTTCCCATGATGACTCTTTTTGCTACCTCAGTATATGTAGGATTTTCTAATTTATGGAATCTGGACAATTTGAAACTAATCCAAAATGGGTGTCATAAGCACCAAAACTACAGAGGAATTTTGCCCTGTCATATATGCCCTTTACTACCAGTAATCCATTATCATTACAGGAAAAATTTTAAATATAAATAAGGAAGAAAGAATGAAAAGTAAAACATCATACAGAGAGATGGCCACTGTTAGGATTTTGGTATATACTTTTCTAGGCATTTGATGCATTTATTTCATGTAACAAAACTCACTTTAAAAATGACAAATCAAATGGAGTATGGTTAGCTGCAGTTAGATCAAATAATGACATCTTATTTTTTCTTGGCTTTCAGACTACCACAATTGAAAATGAAATATATGTCACAAGAACATCAAATGAAAGTCTCCAATTATGCTTTTTAGTAAGAAGCAAAATGAATATTTATTGTGCAGATGATGGAATATGGAGTGAGTGGAGTGATGAACTGTGCTGGAAAGGTATGGGATAAAAGAACAGTAGAGTATTTCTAGCACTGTTTGAGGAAGAAGATGCCTTATTGGATGTCATAGGTCACTACAATTCAGTGACACAGGTTATCAATATCATAGGGTCAACCCTTCTTCACCATTTTTTTTATTGAAGTGCAGTTCCTTGAGATATAAGTTACAGGTGTACAATAAAGTGATTCACAATTTAAAAGGCTTTACTCTATTTGGAATTATTACAAAATATTGGCTATATTACCTACTTTTATAGATTCTATAATATTAATTGAGCTGTATCTTTTCTACACTGCAAGGTTTAATAAATTCTGTTTGATTCTTCCTGCTTTCATTTAACAAGCTAATTTTACCTGTTTTGCTTTGATTTTGCTAGTGGATTACCTTCCAATGGTGCTCTTAGCTCCAAAATTTGGTGGTACTATTCTTAAGTTTCTTATATACTTATCAGATGTTAACCAAATCTGTATTAGTACCAACTGGAGTTGTAGTAGTACATTTACTCTGAAGTTTTACTCACAAGCATATATGTATTTTATCAGACCCTTGACTATATTATGTGTCTTCTTCATATGGTTTTAAAAAATTCTATGCTCATTATTCAAGATTTTTATAGTCTATGCCTCTTCCCCTTTGAAATTCAAATGAATCTACTTAAATGTTCAAAAGAGGGAACAATCATAAAATATGTTGATATAGTTATTGAAGAAAATATATTTTAAAAAGAACAGTAGCTAAACTATTTGCTCTTTGCTAGAAAAATTAATTTTCTCTCAGTGTATTTTGTAATTATGAAAGTCCAAATGCTCTTGAAGATAGTCTATAAACAGAAAAGATAAATTAGCAAGCACCTCAATTGAACATAGATTTATAGGAAGTCTAATGTTTGGTTTTAGCTAGTTTAAGTTGTTATAGTTCAGAGTCTTGTTATAGTTCAGTTATCAACATTCTTATTTTTCTGTCAGAAAAGAGAATGTGCTAGTTCTTTTGTGGGGAAGACTATTTTAAACAATATTTTCCTATGCTTTTGATTTTCAAGAGAACAGAAATCTTTTTTTTTCTTTTAATTTTATTAGTTGGAGGCTAATTACTTTACAATATTGTAGTGGTTTTTGTCATACTTTGACATGAATTAGCCATGGATTTACACGTATTCCCCATCCCGGTCCCCCCTCCCATCTCCCTCTCCACCCGATCCCTCTGGGTCTTCCCAGTGCACCAGGTCCGAGCACTTGTCTCATGCATCCAACCTGGGCTGGTGATCTGTTTCACCCTAGATAATATACATGGTTCGATGCTGTTCTCTTGAAACATCCCACCCTCGCCTTCTCCCACAGAGTCCAAAAGTCTGTTCTATACATCTGTGTCTCCTTTTCTGTTTTGCATATAGGGTTATCATTACCATCTTTCTAAATTCCATATATATGTGTTAGTATACTGTAATGGTCTTTATCTTTCTGGCTTACTTCACTCTGTATAATGGGCTCCAGTTTCATCCATCTCATTATAGCTGATTTAAATGAATTCTTTTTAATGGCTGAGTAATATTCCATTGTGTAATGTACCACAGCTTCCTTATCCATTCGTCTGCTGATGGGCATCTAGGTTGCTTCCATGTCCTGGCTATTATAAACAGTGCTGCGATGAACATTGGGGTGCACGTGTCTCTTTCAGATCTGGTTTCCTCGGTGTGTATGCCCAGAAATGGGATTGCTGGGTCATATGGCAGTTCTATTTCCAGTGTTTTAAGAAATCTCCACACTGTTCTCCATAGTGGCTGTACTAGTTTGCATTCCCACCAACAGTGTAAGAGGGTTCCCTTTTCTCCACACCCTCTCCAGCATTTATTGCTTGTAGACTTTTTTAACCATGTTTTTGATGACAGACTTCTTTTGCCCTGATGGCTATCTCTTGGTAGAATCTTAATAAGTTTGAGATTATAAACAAAGACTTTCCTGAGATGCATGTGATCTTATTTCTTTTGCACATTTCTTATTGGATGTTTTAAGTTATAGAAAAATAGCACATAATCTTTTGAAAATGACTATCTTATTCAGGATTTAATCTGGAACTTCACAAAAGAAGTCTATTTCTCGCTGTTAATTTTGTATGCCAGAAGCTCATATCATTAGTCATTTCTCTGGATTATATCCTTGCAATTCTTAACTGGGCCTTTGAATTTGGTAATTTTCTAGTAGAAAATAAAATCCTAAATGAATAAGACACCAAGAAAAAAGTGGGGCTGGAGATAGTTTTGAGTATAGATATAGGCCTAGGATTCAAGATTTTCCATAGTATTTCACAAATGTGGGAGATACTGGTTTTGGAAGGACAAACCTTGCATACATTTTCAATTTGTCTAGTGATTGCTCGTTTCTTGCTATGCAGTGAAAGTGTCAGTTACTCAGTTGTGTCCGACTCTTTGTGACCCCATGGACTGTAGCCCACCAGGCTCCTCTGTCCATGGAATTCTTTAGGCAAGGATACCGGAGTGGGTTGCCATTTCCTTCTCCAGAGGATCTTTCCAACCCAGGGATCGAATATGGCTCTCCCTCATTGCAGGCAGACACTTTACTTTACCGACTGAGCCAGCAGGGTAGCCCTTGCTATGCAGAAGAACCATTAAAATTTCATCCCTTAAAAAAAAAAAAAGAAAGAATGATAAGAAAAAGCTCATTTCTTTAGTCTCCAGAATGTGAGACAGTTTCAAAAACATGACTTTTTAAGACTAGCTCCATTATTCGCACTGAAATTTATTGAAGACCAACTTTCACTCACTACTGCATTGTATGATATAAACATTTGACTTATTGAGAGTTAAGAGATACATATGATATGTTTATCTAATCACTCTGTTAATATTTTGCCACTGTGTTATTTGAAAAATTCACAAGAACAAATTTGAAAACAAAATCATGTAAGAAAATAAAAATGGGGGGAAGAAATTCCCTGGTGGTCTAATGGCTAATACTCTGTGCTTCCAATGCAGGGGGCCTGGGTTCTAACTCCAGTCAGGTAGCGAGATCCCACATGCCTCAACTTAGAGTTTGAATGCTGAAACTAAAGATCTTGTATGCTGCAACTAAGACCTGGCACAGCCAAATAAATAAATAAATATTTTAAAAAGAAAATAGAATGGGGCTTTAGGTAGTTACTTCTCTAAGCAAAATGAAGAGCTGTCACAGTCCAGTAAAGTAGTTGTTCTATAAAAAAAGTGCACGAATGAAAGGAATGACATACTCAAACCTCACTTACTGGGATATATGGCAGAAGTTGCCAAGTTTAATTCACTTCTTTATTTAATTCAGTTTATTTATAAATAATTCCATTTTCAAAATAATTGTACACATCTAACCCTTCCCCTTTTTTTGTGATTTTAATCCTAGGTGACATATGGAAGGAAATCTTACTATTTTTCTTGGTACCATTTGTTCTTGCCTCGTTATTTGTTTTGGTAGTTACTTGTCTACTTTTATATAAGCAAAGAAATTTATTGAAAATGGTAAGTTGTATAGCATTACCATGTTTATTCTGAGGTAATAGATAAAAAATATTTTGCTTTAGAACTGATGAACCTACATTCTATAACTGCCTGTACACTGTGAGTGTACAATGATGCTGTGTAAACTATGATGATGTCTTAAGAATGAACAGTAATTTAAAAAATTAACCCTAAAAAGCTACATTTTGGGGTGGACTTACTTTTGACGATAGATAAGAATAATGCTTCAGAACATGAAACACTACCTTTAGATTAGAGAAAACATGAGAATTACAGGAGAAAAGCAGGATGGGAAAAAGGAAAGACTGACTTAAAATGTACGCAGCCTGATATATATTACTAGTGTGCCACAAAAATTTTAAAAATCTTGGTGCATAACCTCCAAGACCTCACATTCCAGTTCTGCTAGCTGTATAGTAGAATCTATACAAAAACATAACCTGCATTATAAGCTGATTTTAGCTATTTGAGTTATACAGATAATGCTATAGAGGGACCACTGTGTCTTTGGTGAGCTTTAAGGAGGAAATGTGACTTAGAGAAAAAATACCATAATGCCAAATCTTTTAAAGATAAAGAGAAATGTGAATGTGTATGAAATGTTTTGCTTTATTCCCTGCTGAATGCTTTTTTTTCTATGTCTCTGAGTTATTAATCTAAGTGAAATAGTTTGTGTTATTAATGACTGTTAATAATGGAGCTCTTTCTTAATTTCAGGTTTTTCATACAAAAAAAAGAAGCCCTTTCTAATCAAGATTCACTCTATTGACTCAATAAATCCCAGTCTTATGGCCAAATGTTAGATATGAGTCTTATCAAACTGAATTTTTTCCTAAATGTTGAATAAATTTTATTTTGAAAACATTGTTGTCTTTAAATAGGCGTTTGATTATTAAAATCCTCAATTAGTAGGGAATTTTATGGATTCTATTAACAGATTTTTTTTCTTATTAAGACACAAAGTTCAGAGACTTCCCTGGCAGTCAAGTGGTTATGCTTCTGTTCTTCCACTTCAGGGTTCTATCCCTGGTCAGGGAACTAAGATCCCTCATGCTGGGCGGTGAGGTAAAAAACAAAAAAAAAGATCAACCAATTAAATTGAAGATATAATTGCCTTTATTAAGTGATTCATGAATCAGACTGCATCCTACCTAGCAACTAGAAGGGTGCTCTGAGGGGTTGTACAAAACAGAAGGTTTTTATAGAAAGAAGGATAGGGCAAGGAAGCTATTAGCAAAAGAAAAAAAAATAGATTATTTTTAGGCCAACGCATCTTCTTTTTTGAGGGAGGAAGGGAAAAGAAGGGGTTTTAGCATGCAGATTGCCTCTTCTTCTCTGAGGGGATATAGAGAGCCCATGTAGCAGGTGACCTCATTGGTGCTGATCAGAAATTCCAGACTGGTTGATTAAGATTATTTTTCTGGTGAAGGTCAAAACTGCAATTAGGTTAGATGTTTAATCTACATTTGTTATCATGAGCTTTAGCACAAGTTGTGCCATTTTGGGCCTGTGGTTTTCTCTTTAACATTCCTCAATCCAAGATGAGAGAGCTACATATAGAAAAGTCAAGGGATGGGTCAGAATCTAATCTGTGATGTATTTGTAAAACAATGTGATTTTGAGAATGGCACTAAGTCATAGAGATATTGTCAAATATTCCATATGAGATTCTAATTTTTTTATTAATTGCACTTGGGATGAAAGTATTCACCATGAATGAGGTTGCTTGGCTTTAAAATAAGCTGTGGAGAGGATTAATAAGAAGCAAGAAATTTTAAATACATTCATAGTCTAAATGTGTGCTTCTCATTTCATGAAAAAGTGGGAAGCATGCAGTGCTTCAGGTCAGTTCAGTTCAGGCACTCAGTCATGTCTTACTGCAACCCTATGGAAGGAAGCACGTCGGGCTTCCCTGTCTGTCACCAACTTCCGGAGCTTGCTCAAACTCATGTCCATTGAGTTGGTAATGCCATAAAATCATCTCATCCTCTGTGATCCCCTTCTCCTCCTGCCTTCAATCTTTCCCAGCATCAGGGTCTTTTCCAATGAGTCACTTCTTTGCATAGGATGACCAAAGTATTGGTGCTTCAGCTTCAGTGTTAGTCCTTCCAAAGAACATTCAAGACTGATTTCTTTTAGGATGAACAGGTTGGACCTCCTTGCTGTTCAAGGGACTCTCAAGTGTCTTCTCCAGCACCACAGTGCAAAAGCATCAATTCTTTGGCACTTAGCTTTCTTTATGGTCTAACTCTCACATCCCTACATGACTACTGAAAAAACCATAGTTTTGACTAGATGGATCTTTGTCAGTAAAGTAATGTCTCTGCTTTTTGATATGCTGTCTAGGTTGGTTATAACTTTTCTTCCAAGGAGCAAGCGTCTTTTAATTTCATGGCAGCAGTCACTGTCTGCAGTGATTTTGGAGCCCCCCAAAATAAAGTCTGTCACTGTTTCCATTGTTTCCCCCATCTATTTGCCATGAAGTGATGGGACCAGATGCCGTGATCTTAGTTTTCTGAATGTTGAGTTTTAAGCCAACTTTTTCACTCTTTTTTCACTTTCATCAAGAGTCTCTTTAGTTCTTCTTCACTTTCTGCCATAAGGGTAGTATCATTTGCCTATCTGAGGTTATTGATACTTCTCCTGGCAATCTTGATTTCAGCTTGTGCTTCATTTCACGTGATGTACTCTGTATATAGGTTAAATAAGCAAGGTGACAATATACAGCCTTGATGTACTCCTTTCCAAATTTTGAACCAGTCCCTTGTTCCATGTCCAGTTCTGACTGTTACTTCTTGACCTGCATACAGATTTCTCAGGAGGCAGGTCAGGTGGTCTGGTTTCCATAGTTGTGATCCACACAAAGGCTTTAGTGTAGTCAATGAAGCAGAAGTAGATGTTTTCCTGGAATTCTCTTGCTCTTGCTATGATCCAACGGATGTTGGCAATTTGATCTCTGGTTCCTCTGCCATTTCTAAATCCAGCTTGAACATCTGGAGATTCTCGGTATATGTACTGTTGAAGCCTAACTTGCAGTGCTTAAAAGGCTGAAAATAATGAAATGAAATGACAAGAGATCATATTTGAAATATTCAGATGTTACAAACTATGTAATACAAGCTTGAGAGTTTCCTATGCTAGTTGGCAGGCAACATTTCCTATTTTCTGATGGTGTGATTTTTTTTTTTAATTCGTTCAGAGACCAAAAAGCTCAAGCCTCTGAAGTCAGTAAGAAGCCTTTTAAAGTTACATGCAAACTTCAGACCAATTGACAGTTAACTCCTAGTAGAAGATGTGGCAACCGAGCCATAGACAGTTACTTCAAAATTTAGAGATTAATGACCTATAGATTACAATCAAGTTTTAGATCAATATCTAATATTATTCAGAATGGTTCTGCTCTGTGGTCCACAGACCAATAGAGTGGGAATTTCCTGGGAAGTTATTAGAAGAAATGCAGAATCTCAAACTTCAACCCAGACCTACTCAATTAGCAGTCTGCACTTTAACAACATCCCTAAGCAATTCATTTGCACTTTCAGTTTGAAAAAACATGAATATATTGCAATATTCTAGAATGAAAAAGACTAAAATAATATAATGGATAGATTAGACCATGGGCAGATTAACTGCAGCTTTGACTATCATTGTCACTGATCATCTGTCTCTAAAAGGAGAAAAAAGACCTAAAACTGAGATATAAACTAGGATACCATCCTCTACTACCACTTGTATTCAATGATAGGTTGCACCACCATTTCCTTAAGTAGACTTATACTTGTGAAACATCAAAACCCCCATGGTAGGACTTCCCTGGTGGTCTAGTGTTTAAGACTGTGTTTCTATTGCAGGGGTCATGAGTTTGATCCCTGATCAGGGAACTAAGATCCTGCATGCCATGTGATTCAGCCAAATAATAATTACAAAATTTAAAATTAGAAAATGAAAAGCAGACTACAAAATTAAAAAAAAAAAAACATAGTTTTGCTGAGCCTATGAATTGATAAAATATGTTTGGCACATTACTCTCAAGTCAGAGCTTTCTGAAGTTGTTCTTAGTGTATTGAGAGCTTTGGGGGATGGAGGAGAAATGAAAAGGGGAGAGGTCAAGGCTAGACAGGGAAATGGTAGGCAACCCCATCCTTGTAGGCTGAGTGGGTCGTGGGAACCTAGTGTTTCCATTCCTTGGTTCAGAACATGCATAACAAGCTCTTCTAATCAAAGACTTATGGATTTTCCTCAAAGATTTACATCATAGTTTCTTTCAGGTTTTGGGAGTATCATTTATTTTAGACCCTTTCAGCTAACAGAACAAAGAAATATATGTATGTATATTCATGTACCATCTATTTACTTGTTCAATTCAAGTATACACATATAACAGGATCAGGATTTTTAACCTATACCCCTATGAGAAAGAACACTATCAACTAGATTACAGTGCCTTTTTCTTTTGCCTTTAGTCTTGCAAACTCCATTCATTTCCAAAGTTACTTAAGTCAGGGGATCTTAGTGAGGTGGTTTCATACATTTGTAATATGCTTAAATTGTTTAGTCAAAGTCTGCATTCTATTCTTAATGTCAACAAGTGTTTTTTTAAAATATGGATACATTGATTCACTTTTTGTGCTGTAACGTTCTACTGGTTTTGACAAATACGGTGTCATGTATTTACCATAACATCATACAGAAGAGTTTCACTGTCCTAAATAATCCTTTATGCCTGGAGAAGGAAATGGCAACCCACTCCAGTAGTCTTGCCTGGGAAATCCCAGGGACAGAGGAGCCTGGTGGGCTACAGAGTCAGACACAACTTAGTGACTGAGCACAGTCATTGTTTCTCCTAATATCTAGTGAAGTTTAAAAAATTTATTTACTTATTTTAATTGGAGGATAATTTCTTTACATTATTGTGGTGGTTTTGCTATACATCTACATGAATCACCCATGGTGCACATGTGTCCCCCATCCTGAACACCCTCCCACCTTCCTCCCCACCCCACCCCTCTGGGTTGTCCCAGAGCACTGGCTTTGACTGCCCTGCTTCATGCATGGAAATTGAACTGGTCATCTATTTTACCTGTGGTAATATACATGTTTCAATGCTATTTCCCCAAATCATCACACCCTCGCCTTCTCCCACACAGTCCAAAAGTCTGCTCTTTATATCTGTGTCTCTTTGCTGCCTTGCATACAAGATCGTTGTTACCTTCTTTCTAAATTCTATATATATGTGTTAATATACTGTATTGGAATTTCTCTTTCTGACTTACTTCACTCTGTATAATAGGCTCCAGTTTCATCCACCTCATTAGAACTGACTCAAATGTGTTCTTTTTTATAGCTGAGTAATGATCCATTGTGTATATGTACCACAACTTCCTTATCCATTCATCTGAGCACAGTCATTTTTAGGAACAGTGTAGGCCACACAAAACACATCAGTGGCTCCTAGTTTGTGACCTCTGGTTTAATATCTTTTTTCCCACTTGGCTCTCTGCTCCACAGGGGCATGTGCCTGCTACTCTGCTCACCCAGTGTCTGGATTCAACAAATGGAAAACTAAAAATAGAAGATGGACCCACCATCCCAGTAGGGCAACAGGTTCATAAAGAAAGCACTGGCAAGGAGATGGCATTCTGTCACTCGCCACCTCTTTTTCTATTGCCTGCTGGAAATGTCGCCATGTCCCTTTAAGCCCTACTCCCAGTTGACCCCTGCAAGCTTCCTTATCCTCTGCCCTGAAGTCATCACAATGGCCACATGAGTTCTGGCCAGGGAGGGCCCTCTGCGACGTCACAAAGAGTCCAGCCTTGCCTGGTCCTCAGTCTCCAGGTGCCAGGGCAGACCAGCACACCAGGAGC